GGCTGAAAGCTCTGCTCCCCATGGTGCTGAGGCAGGCAGGGGGTACTGAGAGTTGGAGGGAGGAGGCAGATCTTAGAGTGCGGGAGGTTTTGGAGATGTTTAGGAGGTCAGACAGGTAAGGAGGGGAAAGATTGTGGATAGCTTTGAAGGTGAGTAGGAGAATTTTAAAGATGATGCGGGATTTAACTGGGAGCCAGTGGAGCTGTTGTAGGACTGGAGTGATGTGGGCAGAGGATAAGGTTTGAGTGATTACACGGGCTGCTGAGTTCTGAACCATCTGTAGTTTGTGAAGGGATTTATTGGGAAGGCCAAACAGTAGGGAGTTGCAGTAGTCGATCCTGGATGTTACTAGGCTGTGTACAAGGATGGTAGTGGAGCAGGGGGTGAGTGAAGGACGGAGACGGTTAATGTTGTGGAGATGAAAGTAGGCAAATCGAGTCACATTGTTAATGTGGGATGTGAAAGAGAGTGTGGTGTCAAGGATGACACCTAGGGTCTTGACCTGAGGTGAGAGGGAAAGAACAGAGTTATTAAGAGTGAAGAGAAGATGCTGGGATTTGGAAATGGAGTTTTTTGTCCCAACAAGGAGGCGTTCAGTTTTGTTACTGTTTAGTTGGAGGAAATTATCAGAGAACCAGTTAATGAGCTCACTGAGGCAGTCAGTAAGGGTGGAGGATGAGAGGGTGGAGTTRGGTTTTGTTGAAATGTAGAGCTGAGTGTRATCGGCATAAGAGTGGAAATGGATCCCAAATTTACGGAAGACGTGGCCAAGCAGATAGATTATGAAAAGTAGAGGCCCGAGTACAGAACCTTGGGGAACACCGGTGGAGATGGGTGAAGACTGGGAGCGGAAGGACTTGAGCTGCATGAACTGAGTGCGGTCAGAAAGATAGGATTTAAACCAGTCCAGTGGGGGTGTCTGAGATGCCGACAGAGGTTAGTCAGTCGATGAGGATGGGATGAGAGACGGTGTCAAAGGCAGAGCTCAGATCAAGGAGGATGAGTATTGACAGAAGTCCTGAGTCAGCAGCAAGGAGAAGATCATTAGTAATTTTAATA